CCTCTGCCCCACAGCACTGCCCGGGGGGGCTGCTCTGTGCCCCGGGCCACAGCAGCACCCCCACACTGCACCCACCCCAGAGGCAGTGCCAGAACAGGGACACCCCCTGCAGGAACCCCCCCAGAGCCCCCCCCAGCCCCGGGAGCTGCTCCAGGGCACAGACCCCAGACCCCTCCTCAGTCAGCGTCAGACTGAACCGGCTGGAATCACCCAAGGAATTCACAGCACCCTGAACCCAGAGCTCCTGGGAGCTGCTCACCACCCTGAGAGAGTGAAACCAGGGACAGCTCTTGCTTGGCAGCGAAGCCATGGGAGAGAGCCCGGGATCAGCAGCCGGGATCAGACACAGCAGCACGCCTGGCACTGCCCCCAGCACCCACAGCTGGGAAACCTGCTCTCCAAGGCACCTTTTTTATTCATTTTCTTGACTTCATTTCATTAAGATTAGACGCTAAATCTTTTCCCTGAGCTAAATATTTCATTTCCATTAAACCCAGATTAGCTGCCAGATCCACGGTGCCCCTTGCCCCAGCCCTGGCGTTAACCTTTCCCACAGGGGCAGGGGGCAATCAGGGGGTCTGACCCTGTTTTGGGGAGCCCTAACGTGATGCTGCCCCTGGCATCACAGGCTGGGCGTGGGGCAAGCTCCGGATGGCAGCCCCGGCTCCAGCCACGCTCTCCTCACTGGCACAGGGATTGCTGGGACAGGGACAGCCTGGGGGGAACCTGCTGTGCCCCCCACGGAGGGGCTTGGGTCCGGAAGGAGATTTGGACACTTATTCAAATCCCCTCTGTGGGGGGAAGTAATCCCGTATAATTCCCCAGGGATGATGGCAAAGGGGATATCCGAGGCATTTGAGGTATTTCCATGGATCTTGCTGGGGGAAAGAATTTCCCTGAATTGTCAGTGCTGGGGGCTTATATTTTGATTTAGTTTGGGGTGATGGTTCAGGCCTGGCTCGGTGCCATCCATCCCTGCCCCCAGCCCCAGCTGTTGGGTTCCTTGCAGAATGCTCGGTGGGGACAGGACGCGCTGGACATGAGCACCTGGGCAAGGTGACAGCGGGCAGCTGTCGGTGCCCTGCACCCTGCAGGGTGTGTGCCTGCTGTCCCCAGGTGTGCAGAGCTCTGGGGGACCCTCAGGCAGTCACAGCACAGCAGGGGGACCCTGCGTGGCCAGACCCCGAGCCTCTCCCACAGTCTCCCCATCGCCGGGTCGCGGTGGAGACCCCGCACGGGGACGTTGTTATGGAAACTGTAATATCTTGCAATTCCTCTGATTAAAGCAGCAATTGGAAAGCTGGGCCCGGAGCGAGGCCAGATGGAGACCTGATTCCCTAATGGCCATGGTCTCAGGCTGGCTGTAATCCCACCACGTGTCCCTGTGCCAGCAGCAGCTCTGGCCACGCTGCCCAGGAGCAGCAGATCCCCCCGTGGCACCGGGCTCCGGGGGTGCTGGGGACCCCGAGCTCCAGCAGAGCAGTGCCAGGGCATCCCGGGATGAGGGAGCTCTCCCTGGCACCACGGGCAGCCCACGGCCCCAGCAGGGACCCCCCAGCCCCCACTGCCAGAGCTGCTGGCAGCGCTGCCCGAGCCTGCACCAGCTCTCACCCCGCAGAACTCAGATTATTTTCTGGCCAGGCTTTTGGAGAATCTCCAGTGCTCTGCAGTTAATCCCATCTCCCTTCCACATCATGGCCAGGAATGGGAGCCGCAGCCCCCGCTGCAGGCAGGGGCAGTGGGCTGCGGGGCCCCCACACACCCTGCCCAGGAGGGCACAGGGATGCTGGGCTAAGATGCCCCCAAGCTTGGCTCAGCTGTCCCTTGGAAATCTGCTTGGCACCTTCCCTGCAGGATCCTCCCAATCCCTTCCCACGGGACCCTCCCGACCTGCCCTGCTCCCCGGGCAGCAGCAGGGACAGGGAGCCGTGCTCTGCTGGCTCCAGGGCGGCGTGGAGGTGCCCCTGGTACCTGATGCTGTCGATGAGGTGCTGGTGGGACTCCTGGGTGAGCACCATGCACAGGGCATAGGCCAGGCACTCCACCCTCCTCTCGGCCGCGTACTGCTTCAGCACGGTGAACACCTTCTCCTTCAGCTGCGGCTGGTCCCCGAGGATGGCGTCCACCTGCAGCAGGGGACAGGGACACTGAGCAGGAGAGCGTGGGACAGTGGGCACTGCCACACGGGAAACGTGTCCCACTCCCTGCTCAGCCAAGGTGGAGGGAAGCAGGCAGGGAGGAGAGGGACGCTGGAGCCCATCACACAGCCCTGCTCTGCTCTCACACACCCTGGAGCTGCTGTTCCAGACTCTGCTGGGTCACAGAGGCCCTGCAGGGATGGGGTCAGCCTGGAGTCTGCCTGGCAGAGGATGCTGCAATGGGCTTTTGGAGCTATTTGTGCTTCGTGCACCACTCCCTGTCCCCCTGGGCAGCTCCGTCCTGCCCTGAGTGCTGGGAAGCTGCTGGCAATGGGGAGACGGAGCATGAAGGTGATTGCCAGCCCTGGAAACAGCACAGACAGCTCCCAGCCACTGTCCCATCCCCTCTAGCTGGGACAGGCAGAGAAATTAGCTGATTACCATCGAGCCAGTTACCCTGCATGGGACCCTCCTTATCCAGCTCCCCCCACACTGGGGGCTGCCCCTTGTCCTTGGGCAGTGGGAGCTGATTCCTCACCTGCACCTCTCGTGTGGGATGCAGGAACCCCCCCTGACCGCCCCTCCGTGCCTGTGAGTGCTGGCTTTTCCTGAAAGGTGATGTTTCTGTGCTGCCAGCAGGTTTAGCTGCAGGAGGGGAGAGGAGCCTCTCCCCTTCCCCGGGGCACTGGGGGTGTGGGCAGGGCTGTGTGTGCGCCCTGTGGTGGCACTGCCGGGCAGCCCGCAGGCATCACCTGCCCGGGGAAGGGGAAGAGCCTTCTCTTCCAGGTGCTGCCCCACTTGGCAGCTCCCCAGAGAGGCAGCAGGACCCTGGCAGAGCCCCCCGGTGCCGCTGGCTCTGCTCAGGCACTGCGGGGGCTCCCGGCAGCAGCTCAAGGTTACCAAATCTGGGGCAGCCACCGCAGCGGTGTCCCCTGGGCTGGTCCCCAGGTCCAGCACAGGACTGACAGACCCCGCTGCTCCTGGAGGGACGGATCCCAGAGGGCTGCTGTGAAATTTCTGCCTGGGCGGGGATTGCAGAGCTTGGTGGGTGGGAATTGCAGAATCATTTCTGTCGGAAGAGAGCTCCCAGCTCCTCGAGCCCAACCTGTGGCTGATCCCCCCCTTCTCAGCATCCCAGAGCCCTGCGTGCCACGTCCAGCCACTCCTCCAGGGATGGGGACTCCAGCACCTCGGGGGTGCTGCCAGCCCTCACGCTGTCCCCAGCGTGTCCCTGAGCGCCCAGGGGACAAGAGAGGACATTGCCCTGCAGTTGAGACCGTGAGCACCTCCCTGGCTCCCCGGTGATGCCCTCAGGATGCCGGGACACAGCCCCAGCTCCAGCCGCTGGACACGGACACCGCTGTCCATGAATCGGTGAATTCAGGCTCTGCCGAACGCAGGAGGCTGGGAAAAGGTGACCCGCGGGTGTGAAATAGCAACCAGCAGCACCCTCCGAGCTCCCGGCCCCGCAGCGGGCGGGCAGCAGCACCGAGCAGAGCCGGGAAAAGGAGGGGGTGAAACACCCCGCGGGGTTCAGTGTTTTCTACAGCACACAGAAACTGAGGCTGCCTCAAACATCTGCGAATTCCCTCTGGAGAGAAGGAATTCTGCAGCACGCGTGCTCTGCACTCCTGCCCCGGCTGCTCGGGGCTGCCCCGGGTGGCTTTGCTGGGCTGGGAGGGGACAGGGACAGGACAGGGACAGGACAGGGACAGGGACAGGGACAGGGACAGGGACAGGGACAGGGGACAGAGACAGGGACAGGGGACAGGGACAGGGACAGGGACAGGGACAGGGACAGGGACAGGGACAGGACAGGGACAGGGACAGGGACAGGGACAGGGACAGGGACAGGGACAGGGACAGGGACAGAACAGACGTGCTGATGGGGGTGCTCACACCACCACAACAAACTTGCTCTCCTGTCATCATCCAGGAATCTTTTACTTGGCTTAATGTGAGTTCAGAGATGGAGGCGGCATGGAACAGCCGCCCCTCCTCATTAATCTCCTGCAATCAGCAGGTATCTGTTTCCCACGCCCATGAATCCAAACCTCAGTGGCTATTTGTGAATCTTTAATGGAGAGGCTGACTGAGGGGATTCGCCTGATACCCACAAATCTCTTTATGGATGTCTTGTTCCTTTATTAACTGGGGATCAAAAAAAAAAAAAAAAAAAAAAAAAAAAAAAAAAAACCCGCATTTTAAAAGGCTACTTTGAAATGGAAATTAGAAAGATTGAAAAAAAAAAAAAAAACAACTGTGATCAAATTTATAATTAGCACAAGGCGAGGTGTTTGTTAAAATACCCCTAGGAAGCTTTCAGGAGCACAATGAAGATGTAATCGCGTTGATGTTTTCCTTTTTGCAACAAAATAGGAACTCAAATGTCTGGGGGGTGACGGGCTGAGGCTTTGAAGGAACATCCAGGCACGCAGAGCAGGATCTGCCCTGTGGCTTTCTCCACGCTCTTACAGCGCAAGGGAATGAGGACTCGGGGTCATCCCCAGGGAACCCCCAAGCCCTTTGCAGCACCCATTACCATTTCATTACCGTCTGTAATTACCAGAGCCTTCTCTCGGGTGTTCCCGCCCCAAATCCGCACCCCAGCCCCGGGACCATTCCCCATCCCTGCGCCAAGGCTGGATGTGGGGATCTCCGCCGGGCGCAGGGGGTGCCCAGAACCCCTTATCCCCTATCCCGGCCTCACCTTCCTGCTGAATTCCTGCGCCTTGTGCCTCCTGTCCCTGCGGCCGGTGCCGGGCTTGGCTCCGGGGTGCCCGGCGGGGTCCCCCCGCTGCGGCCG